ATCATTTAAAAATAAACACTTGTGTGTTTGTTTTGGGTAATTTCCTAGGAATAGAGTTGCTGGGTTTAAAAGTTTGATAGGTAACACCAAAATGCTGTTAGAAAAAAGGCAAGCTAATTTACTCACTCAACCAACAGTTTATAACAATGCTTAGTATAAATGTTTGTATTTTTACCAAGTTGGGGGACATAGGACAATTTCTTGTTTTAACCAGAATTTCTCCCTTCCTGAGGTTAAACATCTTTTCCCATGCTTACTAGCCATTTATATTGCTCGATGATTTAACCTAATCTGTTGCCCAGTTCCTAGAGTTCCTGGTTATTTTTTTTTGGGGGGGGGAGACTGGTCATGGGGCTTGAACTCTGGGCCTGGGCACTGTCCCTCAGCTCTTCAGCTCAAGGTGAGTGCTCTATCGCTTGAGCCACAGCGCCACTTCCGGTTTTCTAGTGGTTTATTTGAGATAAAGAGTCTCAAGGACTTTCCTGCCCGGGGCTGGCTTGGGTCCGGATCCTCAGATCTCAGCCTCCTGAGTAGCGCCCAGCTCTATTATTAAACAGTAGATATAGGGAAATCAGAGCTTCATCACCTATTTTACCACAAAGTATTTTCCTTTTACTTTATTCATATTTTGCTTGTTTTTGCGGACAGTGTTGTTATGTAGCTGGCCTCAAACTCACAATCCTCCTGCACTGACCTCCCAGGGGCTACAGTCACAGCTGGGTGACACTGCGCCTGGCTTTATGGTATCTTTTATAGTTAAATGAACCATCTTCCAATCTTCCTCTAGAACATCTTGGTTTGGCATGAAGATAATAAAAAAGAAAATGCCAATGCTGATTCTAGGAGTTTACTCTTAATGTACACATGTATACTTTTGATCAGTGTAGAATCTAGGGCATTCCACATGGTTGCTCAGCGAGCACTCTACCACTAGAGCCATGTCCTCCAGCTGGCCTTTTTTTTTTGGGTCCAGTCGTGGGGCCTGATCTCTGGGCTTTGGTGCTGTCCCTCAGCTCTTCAGCTCAAGGCTAGCGCTCTACCACTTGAGCCACAGTGCCACTTCCGGCTTTTTCTTTTTGCTTATGTGGTGCTGAGGAATCGAACCCAGGGCCTCATGCATGCAAGGCAAGCGCTCTACCACTGAGCCACCTTCCCAGTCCCTCCAACTGGCCTTTTTGGGATGAGAGTCTCACAGCCTCTCCTTCTCAGGCTGGCTTTGGACTGCAGTCCTCCAGACCTGTCTCCTGAGTGACTAGGATTATAGGCATGAGCCACTGGTACTCACCTTGATTTGAAACTTTTTTTTGTCGGTTGTGGTGTTTGAACTCTGGGCCTGGGTGCTGTCCCTCAGCTCTTCAAGGTTATTGCTCTACCACTTGAGGCAGACCATCACTTCCAGTTTTCTGAGTGTTTTATTGGAGATAAGAGTTTCATGGGGGGCTGGGAAGGTGGCTCAGTGGTAGAGCACTTGCCTTGCATGCATGAGGCCCTGGGTTCGATTCCTCAGCCCACATAAGCAAAAAGAAAAAAGCCAGAAGTAGCGCTGTGGCTCAAGTGGTAGAGCGCTAGCCTTGAGCTGAAGAGCTGAGGGACAGTGCGCAGGCCCAGAGTTCAGGCCCCATGACAGGACCCAAACAAACAAAAAAAAGAGTTTCATGGACTTTTTCTGCCTGGACTGGCTTTGAACCATGATCCTCAGATCTCAGCCTCCTGAGTAGTTAGGATTACAGGTGTGAGCCACCAGTGCCCAGCTGAAACTAACTTTTTTTAATCTGAAATTTAAGAAATTCTACAATTAGGAACTAAAGGTGTGGTTCAAATGGTAGAGCTCTAGCTATAAGCAGAGAGAGAGAGAGAAAGAGAGATATAGAGAAAGAACAAACTTGCCCAGAGTTCAAGCCCCCCAGTACATTTTTGTGACAGTACTGGCACCAAAAAACAAAAACAAAAAAAATTCTTTAATCAAAGCATGATGGATCTTTTTTTTAAGAAAAGTGACTCACCATGACTTTTCAACAACCAGAGAAGGGTTGCAGTAACAGTAAACTAACAAGGAAACTTGCTAACCTTGAAAAGTGCATCTTTCAGACTCCGTAAAGTTGTTCCAAGCTGTAAATCTTTTGCAGAACTAAACCAGTCAAGAAGTACCACATAATCCACATTTCCCCTTTTCATCCATGTGTCCTTTGAATCATCCGGGAGGTTTGCTTCAATCCGACTAGCAGTGACTCTGAAATGTATTCATATTTGTATAGAGTTGACAAAAGATCCTAGTATATGAATATAAGACATTGAGTTTGTTTTATAGTCTGTACCATGCCACAGCAAACTTTTTATTTTATTGCTAGTCATGGGGCTTGAACTCTGGGCCTGGGCACTGTCCCTCAGCTCTTCAGATCAAGGCAAGTGCTCCACCATTTGAGCCACAGTGCCACTTCCAGTTTTCTGGTGGTTAATTGAGAGGAGTCTGACGGCCTTTCCTGCCCAAGCTGGCTTTGAATCGTGATTCTCAGATCTGAGCTTCCTGAGTAGCTAGGATTACAGGCGTGAGCCACCAGTGCCTGTCTGACAGAGCAAACTTTAAGTAGAATATTTTATCAAGTAGGACTGCATATTATAATAATGAATGGCTAAACATTCAACACTTTTGCTACTGTAGGCTGAAAAATGGTTTGCAACGGAAAGAAATGGGCTCACAATTCTGACTCCTTTAAGAAAGGGGAGGGGAGAGAAGCCAAAGCAGAAAAACAAAGGAAGTCATCCAGGTCCAAATGTAAACAGCTGGGGTAACGTCACTCAGATTTCCACTTACTTATACACACAATCAATACACAGCATAATGTGTCTTTCATAGACGCATGGCAGTTGACTGGTGCCAGACACTGTGTGAGGTGCCTTCCCCTCAGTAATCAGTCCTGGCGGGCTCTCATTATCCCCCACTTCACATACCAAGGAGGAAACTAGGGCACAGTGACACTGCTCCAGTTACAGATGGCCAAAGCGCAGGCGATTTGAGCACAGGCGATCTGGCTCACATCTATGCTCTTACCTACACGGTTGCTGATGGTACCAACTCTGAATAATACCAATCTACATCAAAGCAGGCTCATCATTTCATGTTTTTTTTTTGGTCATGGGGCTTGAACTCTGGGCCTGGGCACTGTCCCTCAGCTCTTCAGCTCAAGGACAGTGCTCCACAGCTTGAGCCACAGCACCATTTCCGATTTTCTGGTGATTTACTGGCGATAAGAGTGTCATGGACTTTCATGCCCAAGCTGGCTTTGAATCGCAATCCTCAGATCTCAGCCTCCTGAGTAGCTAGGATTACAGGTGTGAGCCAGCAATGCCCAGCTCTATGATTATTCTCCTTTATCTTCTCTAGAGTTGCTAGTAACTCTATGAGGCTTCCAGCCCTACACACAGGGGATACTCTAGAGTGCTCTCTGATGTCACCCTGCCCTGTCTGCCTATGCAAACAAAAGCGCCACTGAGTCAACACTGTGTTATTTGCTCACTGATTTAGCCTCCCCCCCCCCACATAACTCAGCCTGAGTAAATATTTGTAGGCCAAGTGAATCAATGAGTAATAAAGATTCAGTCCTCCAAGTAAGAAGTACACTATTCCCAGGCAAAGAACTTAACATAGGCAGGCATTTGATACTTAACTGATAATACTGCAAGCTGAGCAGGACTAGTGAAACTTTTTCTTTTTTTATTTGGGTCCGGTCGTGGGGCCTGAACTCTGGGCCTGGGCGCTGTCCCTCAGCTCTTTAGCTCAAGGCTAGTGCTCTACCACTTGAGCCACAGCGCCACTTCCGGCTTTTTTCTTTTTGCTTATGTGGTGCTGAGGAATCGAACCCAGGGCCT